GCTCCCACGTCTCGTTCTCCAGCAGAGAGACATACTCCTCCTTCACACTCTGCTTCCATTTTTCAGCATCCGGCCCGCTCAATGCTTCAGCTAGCGTCTTGGGCTCAGGAACGGCTGCCCAGTAGCAGTGTGCTATCTCATCCTCATCACACTGCTCAGCCACACTCCCAGCCCTTACCACCTTTGGCTTGCCAAAGCTGGGATAGGTCAGCCAGTTAGGAGGGCGCACATCCCTCCTAGGACGGTCAGCCGGACGTGCGGCACCTTGTAGAGCACCTTGCTGCTGCTGCTGCGGCTGCTGCTGCTCCTCCACCTCAGGTTCTCCCCCATCCTCAGTCACCCCAAAGATCTCCTCCTTTGAGACAGTGACTTGCACTTTTCTCGAAGGCCACTACACCTTATCGGCGTCAATGATCAGCGGTGTAGTAGGAAGCTTCTGCTGTTGCTGCTTTCACTCCTTATAGTATAAGGATTCAAGAAACTTCACATCCCTTGACACAGTCAGCTGCTGGCTGGTCAAGTCCCAAATCAGCCAGCCCTTGTGATCCTTAGCAAGCCCCAAGTGCACACCCCATCTCCCAAAAGCCTCCAATTTTCCCCTCTTCTCCTTAGGCACATGAAACACCACCATGCACCCAAAGGCTCTCAGCATGTTGACTGCTGGTGCACTCCCATACCACTTGGTGTAGGGTACCCACTGCTTGTCCCCCACAATCGCCAGCACCCTGTTCTTCACAAGGGCGACCTGCCGCACTGCAGTCACCCAAAACGGATCCGGCAGCCCTGCACGCCCAAGGAGAGTGCGAGCACCTTCCTGGAGGGTCTGGTTGAACCGCTCAGCCACGCCGTTCTGCTGAGGGTTGTAGGGCACCGTAAGCTGATGCTGGATCCCCTTCTTCTTCAGCACCGCCTCAAAATCAGCGCCAATGAAATCTCCCCCGTTGTCAGTGCGGATCACCTTCACCTTATGTCCGCTCTCCCTTTGAGCTCTCGGCATCCACTCCTTGAGAACAGCCGCTGCCACCTCCCCCTTCGTCTTGAGAGGGTACACCCACACCGCACGTGTGTGGTCGTCCACAATGGTCAGGAAATAGCGGCTGCCCAAGAGAGAAAGGGCCCTCGTGGGGCCCACCACGTCCATGTGCACAAGTGCAAGTGGTGCCTTGGCTGGTCCTGTGCTGCTGCTGAAGGGAAACTTCATGAATTTGGTCTCAAGGCAGGTAGGGCAGCTCCCAATCTCCTTTGCTCCCCCCTTCACCTCCAGCCCCTTCAAGTACCCTTCCTTCACCAATTTCTGCAGCATAGGAATGTTCACATGGCACAGCCTCTCATGCCACGTCTCCCAATCAGCCTCACCACTCCCAGATGAAGCCTTTGCCCATGCAGCTGTCGCATCCACACCAGCAAGCACCTCACCGTGTAACTGCTGTGGCTGCTGCACCTTCTTGACTGCATCCAGGACCCCATCAGTTGGTGCAGTCTCCTCTCCTCCCGCAGTTGCTTTAGCCGCTGCCGCTGCCGTTGCTGGTGGTTTCCCCTTCCAAGGGATGATGGGCAGCTGCCACAGGTCCTTGATGCAGCTGCTCTTCTCCTCCAAGTCCCATAGCAGCAACTTCCCAAGCTTTGCACGGCAGCTGGTTGGGCCGAACGTAACTTTGGCCTTGCTTTTTTGCAGCCGGCGCACAGAAAGAAGGTTAGCGGACAAACCTTCAACCAACAGCACATTCCCAAGCCCCACAAGCTTCCCATTGGCTCCCATCACTTTTGCATTCCCAACACCAATCACAGGGAGCAAAGCACCTGAAGCGGCAGCCACAAACTTGATCTTCCCAGGAGGTTTTACGTCATCAAGCAAATCTGCCCGTGGGGTTATATGACTCTTGCAACCTGAATCGATCACCCAGTGAGTGAGGGGGTGCATCACAACCTTCCCAACTGAACCCACATCACCCCCACTCCCTTGCACATCCTCAACCATGAGGAACATCCCAGGGTCGGCTTTACCTTGTGCACCATCACCTTGTGCACCTGAACCTTGCACAGCGCCACCGCGTGCACGTTCACCACTTGGCGGCTTCATGCCTGGAGGGGCCCATCCTTCAGGCCGGCTGAAACACTTGAACCACGGGTGTCCAGCCTTCTTGCAGTACCATGCACCCTCCATTCGAGTGCTCCCCCTGCCACCAGAGCTCCCATGCCCCTCATTGTAGTCACCTCGGCCTCTCCCTCTGCCAAAGCCTCTCCCACGGCCTTGGCCTCTCCCTCCCCCTCTTCCTCTGCTGCCTCCTGCAGCTCCATACCCCTCAGCAGTTTTGTTGGCAGCACCACCTCCCGTGTGGCGCTTGGGGAAGTCCTCCTGCAGAATCTGCTGCCGTAGCCACTCAGGCGTCCATTTGTCCTGCTAAACGTTGAGGGTGGGGATGAGGTTTTCCCACGAGTTGTCGAGCACCGAGATGATCTTGGTGCACTGTTGCATCTGCGACACTTCGCTGCCCGCCGCTGCCATCCTTGCATAGGTGTCCTTGATCTTGTCAAGGATAGGTTTCACATCATCTCCCGGCCGCATGGAGAGGGCAGCCAGCTCCTTCTCCAATACGATCACCATCGGCAGCATGGTGGGCTGAACCATGTCGCGTAGCAGCTTCCACGCCTTGGGTCCCGAGTCATCGAGCTCCACCAAATCCTTGATGTGCTGGAACATGTCGTTGTTGACCGACTGTAGAATCAAGTCGTACAGCACTGCGCTTTTCTCAATCCATCGATCACAGGCATCTCCTTCCCCCGGCATCTTCTCCTCTCCCATTGCAATTTTGAAAAGCTTGTAGCGCTTGAAGGCGCTCCGCATCCGCCCGCTCCATTCTTCATAGTTGGAGCGATCCAAAACTTCGATCTTGGATGGTGGCGGTTCAATCCTCTTCTCAACTGCATCTCCACTTCCTTGACTCATCTCCTCTGCTCCCAATCACAATTTCAGCTCCCCCTTTGCTGTCCACTCCAAAGTCCCACAATATTTTCACAAGTGTCGGCGCCAACGAAATTTTGGCAGAGTTTCCCCTTAGCGGAAGTCACATGCAACCTCTAGAACTCCACTTAGGCACGCCCACAGGCCATGGTGGGTCTTGGAGGGTCTTCACACTTCAGTAGACTCCCCAGAAGGTCCTTAATCAGCTCTGATACCACTTTTTAGAGACTAAGGACGGAGTCTATGAAGATTAGGTGCCTAAAATTCTCAAAAATCGTTGGTCTCTATTTCTGGACAGAATAGTCGCGCTCACAAGAAACGCCGTCGACAAAAAACGCACAATCAAAACTTCACAAAACTCAGATATGTTGTAGCTCTACTCCGTGGCTACAATTCTCAAGTTGAATCGTACAAAAAGGTGAAGTATTTCTTGAGTTATCAATTTCGGTGAACTAGGGGGTATGCTGCCATGGAATCTTAACTCAATCACAAAGTTCTCACACAAGTTCACAATTACTACACAAGAGAGTTAGAGTAGCACTAAACAAGGTGGAAGGGATAAGGAGGATGAGAGGGAAGGTCCCAAGAGAGTCCCCAACCAAGGAAACCCCATGCCACTCAATTCCCTTCCCCATAGGCAGCCCAACTTTGACCTTTGTCACTATCCCAACCTCCACAATCCACCTCAACCCAACTTGGCCACACTTGCCAACCTGGTTTGGTTCCTCCCAACCACTTGGCAGCATCTACAGTGATGTTGACGAATTTCCCAACCCCCAAAAGTCTGTACCCCATATTGAGTCAACCCCACAACTTCCTACAGTTGCCACAATCAAATCTGAAAAGCATACGAACTCCAGCGTTCGTAACTTTCTTGTTCGTCCTCCGATTGAAGCGATACTTGGTTCGTCGGAAAGTTCTTGAGAAGAGGAGTCACTTCAGATATCTGCTCGAGCCAAATAACATTCACACACACACTCAGAAAATCCAAACCGCTCAAAACACAAATTCTTGCACACGCTCACACCACGCATGCAACGCACGAACATGTGATGGGAGGCAGACAGACGTGAATGCAAATGATAGCATCACATAACAAGTGGTTTGGATTCTGACATGGTATCAGAGTGGTCTCGGGTTCGATTCCCAGTGTATGCACATGTAGGCCGTTGCTGCTGTGCTTAGTCCTGGGCCTCCTAGTGTGGGGGGGTGTCAGTAGATCTGCACTGTGGATGCCCGATTGATCCTGGAGAGGGTTACAGGCGCGTTCGCCTGGTGGGTTATGGGCGCACTGACCCGCTACTGAAACAAGCCCTTTTATCCCAATGGTCTAGTGGTTGGGATTCTGACACCACCCTCGTGCCCCAACCACCTGCTTTCGTCACTCTCTGGGCCAACACTTTGACGCTGCTCGCTGTTTGACGCACGCCTCTCCAGATCGGCCTTAGCTCGCAGCTTAGTGGCTACTATTTCAGTTTTAGTTGAAGCGGCGGTTTTCGGATACAAATAACAGTGATAGACCGTCGATAATCCCATCGTGAGATTTAGTTGCAGTACCCCTTCGAAACCGGCACAACCCTTCCGCACGATGTGCTAATTTGCTTTCCTACAATTACCATGACACGTGCAACACGTAACCAAGCAATGGAGGAAAAACAGGCCGGCCACCGCGCGACAAGGAGGACGTCTAAACAGATCGATAGGGAGAGTGGTGGCGGCGCTAAAAAAACTAATGCGTCCGTCGCGCGAGTATTGGACAGAAAAAAGTGGTGGCAAAAAAGGTCGAGTGCGGTCAAGAGGAGTCCGGCAAAAAAGCGGAAGACAAGGGGCCTAAACCAACGCCACGCAAGCGTGTTTCTACAGTGAACAAAGATGCGGATGTTGCCTCTGCTGGAACCGAGCCCGGTCCGAGTAACGACGGCACCACTGGCGGCGACGAAGATCCGGGGCGAGGGAGTGCGAGTCTTGTAGTCCCCGTCCGTGGAGACAGAGGGATCGGCGACATGGGGAAACCACGGAGGCGATCCCCGCGCCGAGCATGCCGCAACCAAGGAGGTCGAGGCGGCGGCATCCCAAAACCATCTGACGTTGTTCCAGCCGACCGTGGTCGAAGTTTCTGCAGCCGTGCTGGATAAAGACAAGGTGAGGGAGCACGAGTCGGTGGGGCTGGTCGGTGGCTCTCCTCCTTCTGGTGGACGGGGGAGGCGTAGGCAGAGGTAGAGCAATGGGGAGGACGATTATGACACCGCTGTGCCCGGGGACCTCACCACACGGGTGAAGAGGCGGTAGACGACAGGTAGTGCTGACGACGCCGGAGGCGCGGAAGTTGGGACAACGCGAGGCACCAAGGAAGCTAGTGGCAAGGCGGGCGGTCAAGCATTGCGCCAGAAGGGCCGACCCGCAGCAAGAAAAACATCCGGCGGAAGGAGAGGCAAGAAAGCAACGACGGGGACGAGGCCGAAACGGGGCGATGAACACCCTGGTGATGCGGAGGAGGAGGAGGAGGATGAGGAGGATGAGGAGAAGGATGCGGAGGAAGAGGAGGATGAAGAGGATGCAGAGGAGGATGACGCGGATGTTGGGGAGGATGAAAAATATGAGAATGATGGCGGGGAGGACGAAGAGGAGGAGGAGGAGGAGGACGAGGAGGATGAGGAGGAGGAGGAGGAGGAGGATGAGGAGGAGGAGGAGGAGGAGGAGGTGGAGGAGGAGGAGGAGGACGAGGAGGAGGAAGAGGAGGAGGAGGAGGACGAGGAGGACGAGGAGGAGGAGGAGGAGGAGGAGGAGGAGGAGGAGGAGGAGGAGGAGGAGGAGGAGGAGGAGGAGGACGAGGACGAGGAGGAGGAGGAGGAGCAGGAGGAGGAGCAGGGTGACTACGAGGAGGAGGATGAGGAGGAGGAGGAGGAGGAGGAGGAGGAGGCAGCAAAGGAGGAGGAGGAGGAGGAGGAGGAGGAGGAGGAGGAGGAGGAGGAGGAGGAGGAGGAGGAGGAGGATGTGGCACCAGTGAAGGGACGGGGCGCGCGTGGCAGACGGGTGAGTGGTACAGGGAAAGTGGAGGGCCGGACTCGCCCTTCTCGAAAACGAGGGGCATGAAACGCCGCGCGCGGCGAAGCAGCGGGCAAACCGAAGGCGCGTAAGGTGAACGTCAAAAGTGAAGGTAGTGGTAAAAAGCAAGGGAGCCAGGGAGCAAAAGGGGATGGAGGAGGAAAGGGTGGCCGCGGCAAAGGGGTTCCAGTGGGTACCGGCAAGAAAGAACCTGCCGGTAAACGTTGCAGCGTCTGCCAAAGCACCCTGCGGAAAGGTGGCAACGAGAAGGCGCAGGCTGCCCCAAAAGCGAAGGGACAGTAGAAAGGTGAGCATTGTGGCCAATACAACTAGCGTGGTTGTTGAACCATCTGCTCAACCATGCCAAATAACACCATTTTTTCACATTGTTTCTCCCCTGCAGGGAAGGAGAAGGTCGACGAATCTGCCAAGCAAGGTAAACCCTCTTGTCTCAAACCAGTACAGCCCTAAACCCGATTTAGATTCAAACCTTTGATGTTATGCATGCATGTCTGGCCCTCTATTGAAACCGATCGACTCTAATTTCTTCATCCTACTCCCTCTACATCTCAGCCCCTCGCGTTACAAGCATTGGGCCACCCGTAAGCATGCAACGGATGAAGCCACCGCTAGCCACAGGAGCACCAAGGTTCTACACACCATACACCGCCTTGAGCAAAGTCGCTGCGACGGCACGCGGCGCGCCAAGAGGAGAGGAATCCGAATCCCCTCCACCAGCCCCAATCACGCACTCCCCACTCGCTTTACCCTCGTACCCAGTTTGGCAACTCCACGCTTCTCCTATCCGGGGCAGGGCGGTCTCCCCTCTCGCCGGTCCTTCGCGCGGGCATCAGACAGGCACTTATGCCAATCCCTTCCCTGAGCTCCCCTTTTCCCGCCAGCGTGATAGTGTGAGGGCACACAGGACTGCTGTAGAAGACGTTGATCCCCTTGGCCAGAGGGGGGATTCTTCACACCCTTTTCCCTCCGCTCATGGGTGCCCTAGGTGAAAGTGCGGAGCACGTGCAGTTTGTTACACGGGAGGAGATCCAGGCGCTGCGGTCTGAGATGTACGCCATGTTTGCACAACTCGGCCTGCGTCGTGGAGTACCTGCCAGCTATGCCGGCGGGTCGGCAGCCCTGCCTATGGCTGGTACCCCGCCGCCGATGAGCGCCGTGGACAAGGCACGAGTGCTAGTGTTGCAGGAGACAAACCCATTCCCGGTATGTGGCGGGCCAAATGGGGCGGGTTGGGGTTGACGTGGCAACAAGGGCGGGGTAGGGGCTGACGTGGCAGTTTCGAAGGCTCCATCTGAGCGGTGCGTGACGAGGCGACGCGTATCAGGTGGGTGGGAGGTGACGTGGCATGGGGTGGGTGGGTGTGACGTGGCAAATGGCGCGGGTTGATGGTGGACGTGGCGGATGCAAGTGGGTGTGACGTGGCAAAAGGATTGGGTTGAGATATGACGTGGCGGTGTGAAAGGGTGCAAGGAAGTGCGGCATGACGGGGCGAGGCGTTTCAGATGGGGTGGGGGGTGACGTGGCTCTTGGTGGGGGGTGTGACGTGGCAAGTAGGGCGGGTTGTTGGCGGATGCAAAAGGGTGTGACGTGGCGGAATGTGAGGGTTGGGGCTGACGTGGCGGTTTGGAATGGTACACGGGAGCGGCGCGTGACGAGGCGACGCGTGTCAGGTGGGTGGGGGGTGACGTGGCACGTGGGGCTGGTTGTCAGTGGACATCCCGGATGGAGGAGGGTGTGACGTGGCGGAATGTGAGTGTTGGGGCTGAATCGGGGGTTTGTAATGGTACACGGGAGCGGTGCGTGACAAGGTGACGCGTGTCAGGTGGGTGGGGGATGACGTGGCATGGGGTGGGAGGGTGTGACGTGGAACGTGGGGCTGGGCACTGTCACGTGGGGTCCTCCAAGGGGAGGCCGTACGCCGTGGATGCTGGCGGGGAGAGCGGGTCTGGAGGCCACGGCTCGATCGGCGCCGATGGCGGGCCGGGGTCTGCGCGGTATGGGCCGCGGAAGGCAAGGGGGAGGACGCAGGGGTGCCGCTCGTCTGGGGGGAGCTGAGATCCAAGCACGAACTGGCCCGTGGCGGGAACGTCACGGCCGTTCCAGAGGTTTTGGAGACTGCAACCAATGGGGACAAAGCCGGCTATGCTGAGGAGAACGGGGATCCAGATTTTATGTGTGGAGAGGAACCAGGCCCAGAGTCGGAAGAGGTTTCACTGGAAAACGAGGAGGAAGTGGGAAGAGGGCGGACTCGAGCGAGAGGCACAGGGGAGGGAGTGGACGGAGTAACATCCCATGCTGTGGGAGTGACGGTTCCAGCTGCAGCGGTCGCCAACGAGGTGAAATCGCCAGCCACCCTGGCAGAGGATGACGCCATCTGGCAGATAGCAGGCACGTGGACCTTGGATCTTCTCCAACAAATGGACCAACCGTTCCTAGTCAGACGGCTACCACCCCCGGTGTTAGACAAATACTTCCTATGCCTCCTCGCACCACTCCTACGGCTGTCAACAAACCCAGAATGCCCAGGTGCATGGGCGATCCTGCTATACCTCCCGAGGCTGACGCTACGTCCGCCACCAGAGCCAGTCACTGGCAGCCGATGGGCATCAATTGAGGCTCGGCTGCATCAGTTCCAGCTGGGAGATAGGGATGGGTTGTTCGAAGCTGCTTGCACCATCCCCGACACAGGTGCTCCGCTTAGACATCAAGATGATGACGAGGGGGTTTGCGCGAGGGCAGAGGGTCTGGTTAAAAAGGTAACATTTCGAAAGCAGTTGCAGCATTACGCACGAGCCCCCTCGCCGAACCGAATTTGGCGACGCTTACTGCCCTGCGAGCGAAACACCCGTCCGCTAGCACTCCAATGCCAGCCTGGGTTACTGGGATAACTCACTCCGAGCTCAGTATCCCACTAGAAGCTCTTCGTGAAATTCTCGTAAGTGCCCGAATGGGGTAGGAGCGGGGCCCTCGGGCTGCTGTTTCGAACACCTGGGAGACCCAGCCCTCGCGAATGAGGAGATCCTACTACTCCTGGCGAACGTGGTTAATCGCCTCGCCAGTTCCTTCCAGAGCCAAACAGTCCGCGACCTTCTACTCCCTTCCCGGCTCATAGCATTAGAGAAGCCCGGGGGAGGAGTTAGACCGATCGCAATAGGAGAGGCATACGGAGAGTCACTCTACAACGGTAGTGAGCTTGACTACGGGGGTTGGCACGAACTGTTAGGAGTGATTGTAGGTTTGCCTAGTTCCTTAGTGCTTGCACAATCACGGGAAAAATCGGCAAGAGTTTCCACTAGCAAAGTCGAAATTACAGAATGATTGAACAAGCAATGACAGCATGACTACATCAGGCACCTAGCAACCCTGCAGCTAGCCTGGTCGACCGCCAGCACAGCTTGGTCGAGCGCCTGCCAGCGTTGCGTAGAGGAGCCGCGCCAGCACTGCGGAAAGGCGACCTGCCAACAGAGCAGGTCGACGGCGTGCTAACGCTGCAGCAGAGCGGCTGTCCAGCGTTGCCCCGTAGAATACAGCAGTGCGCACGCTCGCAGGTGCGCGCAAACGATTGGCCCGACTTGTCTCGTTGGGCATCCGTCGGCTGCTGTTTGCACCTGACGAGCCACATCGACTTCGGGATACCAGCCCGCAGTCGCCTTCGCCATCGCAACCTTGTCGACGTTCGCATGCCTCCGCAGAACTCGTCGAGCAGGTTACCCGGTTGACCTGGTCGTCCACCAGCTGCTTTCGGTCGATCACAGCTCCCGTCAAGCTACCCCCTGGTTGACGGACACTTTCCATCGACCAGAACAGTCAGCGGTTGTTGCCGAGCTCCCCTCATCGACCGCTGCTCACTTGTCAGGTCGAAGGACTGCTCCGTTGACCTCCCGGTCGACCTGCAGGTCGAGAGGCTGCTCCTGGTCGAGTTGCATGTCGACAGACTGCTCCTGGTCGAACTGCAGGTCGATAGACTGCTCCGTCGACCTTCAGGTCGAACTGCCCCTCCTGGTTGATGGCCCACCCGTCGCCCGGACCAGTCAATTGCAGCTGTCGAGCTCCTTGGTCGACAGCAACACCACAGCGGTCCCCTGCAGCTCAACGAAGCCTGCCGAGCAGCTCTCCCACTGTGAACGGTCGGCTGCTACTCCCGTACATCCGACCAAGTCGTCGGCATTGCCCAAGCAAGGGCGAGGCCAACACTCCATTCCCGTTAACACTCCCCTGCCACGCTCACGCTTGGTTCTCCAGCCCACACGGCCGTACTCCACGGAGAAACTCGTCCTCGGCATGCACTCCACACACAGCACGTCATCACCGCACCAGCCGTGCAGAAAGGCACGGCACCTAATGCTGCACCTCGTCGTTGCCGTTGCCGACGTCGGCCAGATGAACTTGGCCGATGGCGACAGAGCACTAGTTGAAAGGTGGAAAATGCAGCACCTTCGTCACGAAATCCGCCGGCTGCTCGGTGGTCGGGATGTACTTCAGCACAAACTTTCCGCGCCTCACCATGTGCTGCAGCCAGGCGTAGCGTCGCTCCATGTGCTTGAGGTTGCCTGTCAGCCCCAAGCCATCAGCGACCGTGATTGCCGACTTGTTGTCCACGCGGAGGATGGTCGGCTTCCCCGCGTCGAGCAGCTTGAATTCTGCAAGGAGGAAGCGAAGTCGACGCCCTTCCTTGCTGGCATCCGTGGCCGCGACGTACTCCGACTCGGTAGAGGAGAGTGTCGCACACTTGATGCGCTGGCTCTCGCCATGCCCGTCGCTTCGACTTCAAACTCTGTGTTGGTGTAAGGGCCTAATAAAACTCAAGATAGTAAGACCTAATCAAACTTAATACCTCTCCTCGGGGTCACCTCCAAAGGTCCTTCGGTTCCTGGTACAAGACCAGTCCCTATCCTCGGGTCCGAGTTTGTAGAGAGAGGGACCAAGAATGACTTAGCCAAAATATCAAGAGCACCTTGAATGTCGCGCAATGTATCGTGCAAATCGTTGATCGGATTAAGCAGAGAATTTGCTATATCGAAGCTCGTTCCAACAGCTGTAAAATAAGACAAGTTGCCTGGCGAAAAGTTTTGCGATTACAAAGTTATGGCTCGGACAGCGTTTGCCTAGCATTAGAGTGCTAGCGTACTAGCGTTGACTTGGGTAGCATTGCGCCGTCGAACCGCGTAGAAACGAAATTCCAGCAAGGAAGGTATTCGCTTGAATCAATTTGACTATGTCGAGGTACAAACAGAGAATGAATAAATAGTTCTAGCTAGCAAGGACCTTAAGAATCAACATGGGAACAACCAAGGATGATCCCAAATAATTTGAAGAAACAGAACCAACCTGGCTGGACAAAACAGCAGGATGTCGTGTAATGTGAATTTGCACCCTACTTCATGTGGACCAGAAAGATGCCTACTGTGTCCATGGCACGAGTGTGTGGTTGCATGGCGCAGTACAAAGTGCCCGACCAGCAACGAAGGAAGCTGCATCCTAAGGCAGAATGGGGAATTTTCCTTGGGGTGTCGGAAGGGAGCAAGGCTTGGATGTTGTGGAGTGTAACAGATCAGTGGGTGGTGGAAAGCCAGGACGTGGTTTTCCATCAGGGGTTGAGCTACAAGGGGTGGAAGGAGCATGGTGCTAGTACGGTTAGGAGTTCCCTCCAGGATACCTATACAACTTCTATCTTTGAGGGGGCATGGGAGGACCCAAGAGAGGGGGTAGAGGAACAGCAAGAGGAAAAAAAGGCAGCTGCACCTCACCACGAGGATTTCCCAACTGCTGGCTCCACCCCTAACCCTAACGCACCAGCCCATGACCCGGAGCAGCCACAGGGGCAGCAGCAGCAACAAGAGAAGCCGCAGCAGCCACCACAACAACATACACCGTCTGTTCCTTTAGGTAGGTGGCAGCAACTACTGTAGCAGCAGCTGTCCAAGTCACCACGGTCCCCCATGAAGAGAGTGACTTGGAAGGAGAAGCTGCAAAGTTTGGAGCAAGGGGGGGGCATCACCTCTGCGCCGCACCACACGCATATCCCGGCCACCTGAAATGTTCACACCAAGTGTACAGTATGCTTGCATGCATGATCATGAGGAGCATGATTGGGAGGAGTCCATGCTTTTGGATGCTGATGGGGGTGACCATGGACTTGATTTTTGTCTTATGGGTCAGGTGTATGAACCTAAGTCAGTCAAGGAGGCCTTGTCCTGTCCTGAGTGGGTCGAGTCCATGCGTGAGGAGCTTGAGTCTCAGAGGGTTAACGAGTCATTTGAGCTGGTTGGTCCAGCTTGTGTGCCACCTGCGGAAATAACTAGTGCAACGGGAGCTAGACTACGGGCTAGGCACGGGGCAAGAGTGATTGTAGCGTTCGTTCGTTCCTTAGTCGTTTCCAAGTGCTAACACTGCTTGCTAGTTCACCGGGAAAATTGGCAAGAGTTTCACTAGGAAAACATAACAACAAAAGTTCAGAATGATTGCATCAACATTGGCAACACAGACTACATCAGACCTAGCAAGGTTGCTGGTCAACTGCCTGCGCAGCACGATCGACCGCGTGCCAGCACGACTTGGTCGACCGCGCTCCAGTAGAGCAGAGTCGCGGCTTGCCAACGTTGCAAGTCCGCGGTGTGCCAACGCTGCAGTAGGTTGGCTACACAGCGTTGCACCCGCCTGACAATGGTGCACCAGCTTCGCAGGTGCGTGCAGCTGGTTGGCGCCCAACTCCCCGTCACATGCCCAGCGCAAACACTCCACCCGTGACGGCGCCCACCAGCCACGTCGACCTCGGGATACCACCCCCGAGGTCTTACTCGCAGAAAATGCCCCCGGCGACTTTCGCACACGTCGCCCAGGTATCCTGACCGGGTATTTCGCGGTCCTCCCATGGTTTCGCAGCTCCCACGGTCCTCCCGAATTTCGCAGCTCCCACGGTCCTCCCATGGTTTCGCAGCTCCCACGGTCCTCCCGCGGTTTCGCGGCTCCCACGGTCCTCCCGCGTTTTGGCGGCTCTGCCCAAGCGAGGACGGTGCCAAACACAACTCTCGTTGACACTCCCCTGTTGCGTTCAC